TGATTTGTTGTTTTTCAAAAGAGAAGAAGATAGAGGGTTGGAAACGGAGAACTCGAGGTGAGAGATAGAGACTAGGGAGCAGGGAAAATTGGGAAAGGGTAAAAAATGCCTAGTTTTGTGTGAAAGTTCACCAGCCTCATAATAAAAAAGCATATTCAATAATACCCACTGCCCACTAATAAATATATTATATAAATTATTTAGTAATATTTTATTATTTGTTCTGTTTTACAACAATACTATATTATATTCTTATAATATAATATTTTATTATTTTTTCTTTTTAAGACCAAATTATATTATACTCTTGCATTATATATGTATATCTTTTTCAAAAATAACATGTTACTCAATGTTTATTTATCTATTATATAGTAAATTTAACTAATTTATATAATATATATATAATTATTTTAATCAAATCCGCCTAGGCTGCCTAGGCCCTTGCCCTCTGCCCGACTAGTGCCTAGCATTTTTTAGAACCTTGCTCGGAACCAACTCCGAATCTAAACAGACCCTCGTCGCGAACACCAACAAAAACCCCTCGCTCGCTTTCGACATCTCCCGCGAGTGGAAGGCGTTGAGCGCGACAAGAGCGAGAGGGAGTGGGGAGGCGGGGAGGTCTGCTAGATTGACGGCAAGCAAGGATTTGGTGGGCGGGGAGAGGTAGATGGCGAGCGAGGATTGGTCGAGGAGTGGCAAGAGGCCTGGCCTGAGCTTACGGTGGACGATGGCGGTGGCGTTGGAGAGGAATTTGGTGTGGATTGGAGTTGTGGAGAGTCTGTGATTGGCTTTTGGCGGGATGGTGGAGGATTATTCAATTTGGAAGAGAGAGAGGCCTCGAGAAGAGGAGAGAGAGATGACGATGTCAAAGTTGGAAGCAAGCGATAGCTCTTGCGACATCTCGCAGTTTGATCTACCTCATTTTATTGGTACGTCAGCAAAACCAATCAACTAGGCTTTGTTTTTTCATTTTATTTTGCAATATTCTAAACTACTCAACATTTTAATGTACGGGTTACAAGATTCAAACATGGGTGCAAGTGCTGGGGAAAGTCTGTTGGTTTGGGCCTAGGTCTATCAAAAATTAGTATACCTTGTGCGTTTCTGTACCCTAGTGAACTTGCCTAACCCGTGTTTTCGTGTTTTTGTGTTTTTGGTCTTCTTGTTTTCTGGTAGTTGTGTTTTTGCTGAGTTGCTAATTACGCTTTTTGTGCACTTGTATTTGTGTAGTGAGGAGAATGTGTACTTGCTTTGCAATGAACTGTGCAAAAAGGGCATCACAGACGCACATGGGTCTGATCTTTTCGTTGTTTCCATTTCCAAGACAAGAAACAGGCATGTATTTTTTTTGTGCCCATGTTACCGAACTGGCTATTTGTCTTAAAGTTTATGATTTATGTGTCTTGTTTTCAATGAATTTAGAGTTTGTTGTGGTGTAAATAAAATCATGTAGATCCCGTTATGGTACCAGAAGGCCAGTAACCAATGGGATTGTTCTGTGGGATTATCATGTCATTTCCTTGCCCTTTAGCAAGCTATGTCTCAAAAACTATCCGCTTGTCATTTCAAACTTGTTTCTGAATTCCAAATGTACTTCATAACTTGTGTGTTTTGTATTTATAGGGAAATGTTCTTATGATACTTTGGATGTTACATTGTGAGTTTATCGAGAGAGTAAATTATAGCAATGGTCCCTCAACTTTAATCAAATTGGAGCAATGGTCCCTCAACTAAAAATCCATTACCATTGATCCTTCAACTTATCAAAATGTGTAGCTATAGTCCTTTTCATCAATTTTGTCAAAATTTTGTCAAAATAAGTTATGTTGGAATAACCATTTATATAATGAGGATCCCTCAACTCATCAAAGTGTGTAATTATGGTCATTTTCGTCAACTACGTCAAATTTTTTGTAAAAACGAGTTATGTTGGAAAGACCATTGCTACAATTGGGTTAAAGTTAAGGGACCATTTCTCCAGTTGAATTAAAGTTGAGGGACCAATGGTAATGGATTTTTAGTTGAGGGACCATAGTTGCACGTTTTGATGAGTTGAATGACCCATGGTAATGGATTTTTAGTTGAGGGACCATTGCTCCAATTGAGTTAAAGTTAAGGGACCATAACTACAATTTACTCTTATCGAGATTATTTATTTGGTAAACTTTTATACGAATGCATAGGAGGTCCAAATTTAGAGTCTTACAACATAACATGCCATATATCTGATATGTTTGTTACCCTCTATATATTGATACCATTGCAGTTAATGTGGTGCAGGGGTGGAGTTGGGGGTAATCGGCAGTTTACCATTTGGAGAGTTCCACATCCAAACAAACTTTATAACGTAAGCCTCAAATACCTTGCTTGATCTTCGTTCTGCTCTTAGATGAAACAATTCTTGATTCAAAAGTATTTGGTTCATATTCGCTTTTGGCGAGAATCAAACTTAAGACCTCTCACTTACAAGTGAAGAGGAATATCACTAGACCGTAGTACTAAGTATCCGAAATCATTTCCCCAAGCACTTTAGAATTCTCACCGTCACTCTTCCATTGTTTTTCTTGCCCTTCTTCAACAACTTGGGCCTGGTCTTTATGGGCTTATTAAGATAACCAGCCAACAAAAGCCACCTTGTCCATCCCATTAGGCTCGATCGTACCCAAAGCCCTGGCCACAGCCTCCAAAGTACTCACTCACCCGCCAAACGACTTCTTCCTCGGAACCAACTCCAAATCTAAACAAATCATCGTCACGAACGCTGACAAAAACCCCTCGCTCGCTTTCGACATCTCCCTTACATGAAAGGCGTTGAGGCGACAAGAACGAGAGGGATTAGGGAGGTGGGGAGGTCCGATAGGTTGACGGCATGCGGGGAGAGGTAGATGGCGAGCGGGGATTGGTTGAGGAGCGACAAGAAGCCTAGTCGAAGCTTATAGCCGACGATGGTGGTGGCGTTGGAGAGGCATTTATTAAGGATTGGAGTTGTGGAGAGTATGTGATTGGCTTCGGCAAATCAATCAACTAGGCTTTGTTTTTTTATTTTATTTTGCAATATTCTAAACTACTCAGCATTTTAATGTACATGTTACAAGATTCAAACATGGGTGCAAGTGCTGGGGAAAGTCTGTTAGTTTGGGCCTAGGCCTTTAATAAATCAGTATACCTTGTGGGTTTATGTACCCTAGCGAACTTGCCTAACCCATGTTTTTGTGTTTTTGGTCTTCGGGTTTTCTGGTTGTTGTGCTTTTGCTGAGTTGCTAATTACCCTTTTTGTGCACTTATGTTTGTGTAGTGAGGAGAATGTGTTCTTGCTTTGCGAGGAACTGTGCAAAAAGGGCATCACAGACGCACAGGGGTTTGATCTTTTCGTTGTTTCCATTTCCAATGACAAGAAATAGGCATGTATTTTTTTGTGCCCATGTTACCCAACTGGCTATTTGTCTTAAAATTTATGTTTTATATGTTTTGACTATGCTTTCATGTCTACTTGCAGCCTTTAACACTGCTTGATGCCATTTATTCAAACTTGGATGAAGATGTTTCATCCATCTTGAAGAACAACTCTCATGGTTTTGGGTATTCGGTGGAGTGGTGCCTTTGTAGAACTCATAGTATTTTTTGGACGTACGAGTCCAAACACCTTCACTTGTTTGAGAACTATCTTCCGAGATCCATCTATAAGCCCTACAAAAACCTTCATCTTCTTTTCGGGTGCAAGCCCTACCTTTCATTGCAGATGTGGCCATTTGAAAATATTGAAAAAATTGAAGGAAAGATTATTGGAAGGGGTAAGAGAATAGAATGTGAAGAATTGAAATAGAATGAAGTAAGATAGTATGGAATGGTGAAAATTATGTGAGAAATGGTGTAGGAATGACTTAGGTATTTATAGGAAAAAAGTTTCGAATTTTTTGTTACTTAAAAAAAAAATTTATCTAAAAAAAAAAAAAATCAAATCCAACGACTAATGGCATCAGCATGACGTCAGCTAGATGTTGCTAGCTGGTGTCATGCTGATGCCAGTAGCCGTTGGATTTGAATTTTTTGGGTCGGCATATCAAATCTAACAACTACTGGCATCAACATGACGTCAACTAAATGTTGCTAGCTGGTGTCATGCTGACACCAGTAGCAGTTGGATTTGAATTTTTTGGGTCAGCCTGGGGCTGGTTGGCCTGATTTGGTATTTTTGGCCTGATGGTGGCCTAGCCCTCGGTTGGAGACAGTTTTCGTATCATTTTAAGCTATTTTTAGCCCTATGGCACTTTGGCCGGATCGGTTGGAGATGACCTTAGTTTGTATTAACACTATACTATGGATCGAAGAAGATGAAGTAAGATGAAGTTACAGAGAAATAGAAAAAGGGAAATGAGAGAAGGATTTGTATATTGCAGCAATGAACTCAACACAACACACTACAGAGAGAGAGAAGCAGCTCTTTATTTATACATGCTCTTTGCTTCCTTCGTAAGCTTCTAACAAACCATTAACCGCCTTACATCTTTCTACAATCCCAACTATCTAACTAACAGATAAGTTGATGTGGATAACAACCTAAGCTGATGTGGAACCTTGCTGATGTGGATTGCTTATGTGTATATTGGTCAACATCCACCCTCAATCTCAACTGGGTCTCCAAGTTTGAGATTGAAAGAATGCTTAAGGAATGATGGACTATGCAGCCCCTTAGTTCAAATATCAACAGTTTGGTCTTCAGTTGACAAATATTGAACTTGGAGATCTCCTTTTTGAACTTTCTCCCTTACAAAATGATAATCTGTGTCTAAGTGCTTAATCCTGGAGTGAAATACTGGATTTAAACTTACAGCAATGGCAGATTTGTTGCCATAATAGATCAAAGGAGAAGAATGCAATACTACAGTCATGTCTTTTAACACACTTCTGATCCATGCTATATCAGCAGCTGTATGAGCTAAGGCCTTATATTCAGCCTCTGTAGAACTTCTTGACACAGACTCCTATTTCTTTTATTGCTAAGAAACTGGATTGCAGTCAATATATATAACATATCCAGTGATAGACCTTCTGGTATTCAAGTCTGCATCCCAATCTGCATCACTAAATGCGTTAATCCTTACTTCTGTATTAGCTGAGAATGTGATACCATGCTGCATAGTTCCTTTTAAAAACCTTAATATCCTTTTAACTGCCCCAAAATGAACCTCAGTTGGTTTAGCCATAAACTGACAGACAGTGTTGATTGCATATGCAATATCTGGCCTTGTGAAGGTGAGATATTGCAATGAACCAACAATAGTTCTATATAAACTGGGATCTGATAATGGCTCTCCTTCAGTGAGGAGCAAAGAATTATAAGGTTTACATGGTGTTGATGCTGATTTACAAGAGTCCATACCAGCTTTGTGAAGAAGATCTTTGACATACTTAGACTGATTAACACAAATATCTCCATTGGACTTGTAATTGATCTGCAAGCTAAGAAAATATGTCAATCTGCCAATATCTTTGAGCTTGAACACCTCAGACAATTATGTTATTATCATTTGAACTATTATACTGGAATTGGAACCAGTAATGATAATGTCATTTACATAGAGAAGTAGTATGACAATATCATTCTCACACTGTTTGACAAATAAACTGGAGTCTGATGTTGAAGGTTTAAAACCCATTGCAGGTAGATAGCTTGTGAACTTAAAGTTCCAAGCTCTTGGAACCTGTTTGAGCCCATAGAGAAATTTCAGCAGTTTGCAGACATGTGTTCGCTTAGTTATATCCACAAATCACTGAGGTTGTTTCATGTATATATTTTCTTGCAATTCACCATGCAGAAATGCATTTTTGATATCAAGCTGTCTCAAATCCCAATGGTTAATGGCAGCCAATGCAAGTACAATTCGAACTGTGGTATGTCTTACCACTGGACTAAAGGTTTCAAAATAATCAACACCTTGCTTCTAGGAAAAACCTTGTGCCACCAACCTTGCTTTATACCTTGAGACTGTGCCATCTAGATTCTTTTTTATTTTATATACCCATTTGCTGCCAATAATAGACTTATCACCAGGTGGTGGTACTAATTCCCAAGTTCCTTGAGCCCTAAGAAAGTCATACTCTTCTTGCATATCATTTTGCCACTATGGCATTTAGCAACTTTTCGGAATGTTGATGGTTCAACAGCATCACTATTAACCACCAAAAAGGAAAAACCTCCACCAAAGTATGTATCATAAACTAATTGAAGTGACTGAAGTTCAGACAATGTAGCTAAATATCCCTTATAACTTCTCTGTGGTATTGTACTACTCTTTAACCTGGTGACCATTGGATGAACAAAAGCATTACTGGATTCACCAAGAGGAGATGATATGAGAGATGAAAATGGTAGAATTACCTCAAGTTGTGTATCATTGTGGACATGCAACATTTGTGATACATCTTGAGATGTAGGAGTGATGGGATAAGGATCTTGAGTTGATGAAGCACCCTGTGACAGTGATAAATGGTCTGAAGTAAATGCTGAATCCAATGAGTTCAATCTACCCACAGAATGAGAATGATTTTCAGATAAAGACAATGACATATCATGTGTAGCCTCACCATGATTATCTCTCTGAATACCTGGAGTTTCTGCAACATTCTGAATAGGAACCTGAAGCTAGGGGTGGGCAAACGGGTACAGGAATCGCGGGTCGAGGCGGGTAATCACGGTTCGGGGCGGGTACGGGCCGGTTCCTAATTTTAAAAAAGAGAAACCGGGGGGGGGGGGCCAGGCCTTTGAAATTTTAGGTTCGGGTCGGTTCCTGAAGTGTAGAAAAACGAGTACCCGAACCAGCCCGTTTGTAATTGCAATGGACGGATGAGATTGAATGATAAACTATCATCCAATCTCAACCGTTAGTTTTTACCCTAATCATCCTTCCTCCCAAGTCCACTCTACGCTGTTCGTCCCTTTGACTCCCTCGACTCCAAACCTCAGTCATCTTCTCCTCTGTCGTCACGACCAACACGACGGCACCACCCATCCTTCCCTTCACAGTTCCACCCACACGACGGCACCACCCATCCTCCCTTCCTAGGTCTCCTCGAGCTCAACTGTCATTGGAGTCCTTCCCCAAACCCAACCAGCCATGTCGAAGCTCGTCGGTGTCCTCGCCTTCCTAACCCTAACCCTTCAATTTCTGGCCCACTCCTCGCCAGTAGACTCCTTGTTTTTCAAATCCCTCCAGTCTCGAGGCTTCGAGCTCGATTCAAGCTCGCGAATGATCTAAGATCTCCTTGTAGCGATACGACCTCTACAGATACGAGAAAGTTTGTGTTTGTACTTCTGATTGTTTGTGTTTTTGTCTCTCCTAAGATCTCATTTCTCAGTTTTGATCTTCTGATTGTTTGTGTTTTTGTGATTTGGGAGAAAGTTGTGGAATTTGAGAACTTCTGTTCGGTCAATTGAAATGGAGGATCAATTTATTCAGGTCGAGGACTCTGAGAATGTTTGTTTGTGAGCTTTAGCATGTCATTGGGCTCGATTGATGCGATGTCGTTTAAGCTCGTGTTGCTGCTGTTGGAGACACCATTGAAGTCGTTGAAGTAGAGTTATTGGTCGAGCTGGAGGTCGAAGGGGATGGGATCGGCAGAGTGGAAGTTTCAATTTGTGCCAAAAAAAAAAAGGGTACCCGTGTACCCGGACCAAACTGGTCCGTTTCAAACGGGCCGGGTTAGGTCCGATTCCTGTTTTAAAATATAGTGTACTTGCTCCGGCCCAGCCCGGCCCGTTTCTTTTAAGCTGCGGTCTGGTCCGGTTCCTTCAAAATTGGGCCTAGCCCAGCCTGTTCCCAGCCCTACCTGAAGCACAATAGGTCTCTGAGTTGTAGATGAAAACTGTGAATCTTTACTGAACTTGGTGTTAACCAGAACTCTATGGAAACACTGATTCATCATGAATGACATGCCTTGATAGAATCATTTTTCTTGTTTCAATATTGTAACATGTAACTCCCTTATACCCCAGAGCATAACCAAGGAAAACACACTGGACAGATCTTGCTTGTAGCTTATTTGCATTATAGGGCTTGAGAAATGGATAAACAGTTGTCCCAAACACCTTTAAATTCTGAATATCAGGGATCTTACCAAACAGCATCTGATATGGAGACTGCATACGTAACACTTTACTGGGCATTCGATTAATCAAAAAAGTTGCATATGAACAACCATGAAACCAGAAAGATGGATCCAAGTTCGCTTCAGACATTAAAGTTAATGCAGTTTCTATCAAATGTCTGTGTTTCCTATCAGAGATGCCATTCTTCTGAGGAGTATATGGACATGATATTCTCTGAACAATCCCTTTTGATTCCAAAAATGACAAACACTTTACTCATATACTATCCTCTTCCATCAGTTTGCAAACACTTAATCTCAGTGTTAAATTGATTTAATACAAAAGCATGAAACTTTATAAAAGCAGAGACTGCTTCAGATTTGTTAACCAAAGGAAATATCAACAAGAACCTTGAATACTCATCAATAAAACTGATGCAATATCTATATCCTTCAATTGATATCTTTGGAGAAGGCCCCTATACATCTGAATGTACTCTTTCAAACATAAAGGTAGCACTACTTTGTTTTACAGGAAAAGATTGCCTACACATTTTACTTGAAATACATGAAGTACATATGGACTGAGAAGAGTCTATACTAACTGATACTTATGCTGCTTTCAACATAGCTGTCAATACTTCTTCAGAATGATGGCCTAGCCTCTTATGCCATATTTCATTCTTTATCTTCTTTCCTATAAAGCCAATTTTCACATCTTTAATCTTCTCATTCATAAAAAATGATCTTGAAAACACTGTAACAAGTATTGTAAAAAGATCCCCATCACTCATTCCGTGGTAGAGTATCACATTGGTTGCCTTGTCCTGTATGAAAAACACATTATCATCACATATAAACCAGCAACCATTATCATAGCACAATTTCTTAACTGACAAAAGATTCATCGTGATATGTGGTACATGCAAAACATTTTTCAAGAATAAGCAATGATCTTGAGTAAAAAGTTTAGTAGACCCAATATGTTTCACATCTAAACCTTGACTATTTCCAATGATTATCTTCTCATCACCATGGTATGCAGTGACTTGATTCATATTATTGACATTTGCTGTCATATGATGTGTAGCACCAGTATCTAGGACCTATGTATCAGTTGCAGAAAACCCATGTGGTTGAGACTCATTTGGTGCTTGAGAATAATTCTGTGAACCTTGTGCAGACATGGTAGTGAATGTTGGAGGTGGTGAAGCCCCTTGAGAGGCATAATTGTTCTTATGAAAACAGTCCAGGGCATTGTGACCCTTCTTTCCACAGATCTAACATACCAAGAGTTGATATTGATTGCTATTAGTTGTACTCCTAAAATGACAGTTGGGTGCAGTGTGACCTTTTCTGGAACATATTTGACATTCAGGAGTAATGGATGATCTGAAGTTAGTATTCCCATTCCAACCTTGCCAATTTGAACCATTCTTTGATCCACCATTAGATGACTGACCATTGAAACTTGACTGTGAACTCTTGCCTTGATTAGAAAAATTGCCATTTGATCCTCTACTTTTGTTGCCAAAGTAAGGTTTTGAAGCATTTTGTCCACAGGAATTCCTGTTAAAACTGAATGTCCCTCAATTCTGATTATTGAAAGGCCTTTGGTTGCTGCCAGTAAAACCATATCCTCCTTGATAACCATTTGCCCCCATGGTTGAACCTTCACCTTGATACCTACCATTGTCTTGATAAGAACCAGTATGACCATTACCATTATCAGCATTCATATACATTGCAGACATTGAACCTGTTAAAGCTGTGACTCTGGATTCTATGGTAAGTTCAGCATTGAGAAGCTGTGCACGGAAGTCTTTCAACGAGATTGGTGTGTCCCTTGCCAATATCACAGTTCTGATCATATCAAATTCATGCGGTAATCCAGTTACAACAACAATAACCAGATCATTTTCAGATACCCTTTCTCCAGCAGAAATCAATTGATCTCGCATAGCCTTTAACTTCAACAGAAACTTATCAATTGAGTCCCATCCTTTTTGCGCAGTATGGAACTCAGTCTTCAACTGATTAATCCTGGACACTGAGACAGAAGCAAAACGATCTTGTAGAGCACTCTACGCTTCCTGTGAAGTTTTACATCCAATAACATGCTCCATAGCATCATTAGATAAGGTAGCAATAAGCAAACTAAGTAAAGCCATATCCTTTTTCACCCAATTCTTATAAGCAGTAGTTATCTCTCTTGTCACACCCGTCTCAGTATGAATTACATATTTGGGTGGTCATGGATTATCGCCCGTAAAGAAATCCAAGAAGTCATAACCACGCAAGACTGATTGAAACTGAAAATTCCATTTAACAAAGTTATCATATTGCAACTTCACAGTAAGCATTCCCAAAAGATTTTCAACTTCACAGATTCTGTAATATTCTCAGACATGATGACAATCAACACAAGAATTCGACTATTCTCAACAAAATTCAAGAAACTAGCAATCAAGATTTGTATACAGCTTTCAATTAAGAGCAACGCACAAAACCCTCTTTGGCAATTAGCCTTTAACAAAGATGATATAGCAAAAAGACTTCAAGATTCAACACTCCGGCAATTGGCCTTCAAGGAGTAGAAAACAATATACAATTCAAGAGGAAATGGCAATTGGCCTTCTTAATCCTCCAACCCTTCAACAGAAAACTGGCTATCGGCCTTGTACATGAACAAATTGTAAAGAAAACTTACTGACACAATTCATCAAACACTTGGAGTGCACCGAGTTGATTTCTCCAGAAACACCCATGAGCTCGTACAAAAAACTTCAACCAAAGTAGCAAATCTTCATTAAGAATAGAGCGTCCATTAACATTGCAGTGGAAAGACGAACGGTCACCAGTAATCGACCACCAGCGATGATACCATATTAACACTATACTATGGATCGA